TACACATTTATTGTATTTAACTAATTTTAAGTAATTTTTTATCTTCATGATAGAGTTTAAAGTTGCTTATAAAGAGGAGATGAAGAGATTACTCCCCCTATCTTTATTATAAGCTTCAAATAACTAATTCAAGGATAATAAATAATTAGTTAAAATTAGTTAAAACTAATAAATAGGTTAAAAATATTTTTGTTTTTAAATATACCCTTATAATAAATGTGAAAAATGATGAAAAAGAATTTGTGGGAAAGTGTGACAAGAGAGAAAAAATTAAGAACAATATTGAAAAAACATTAAATGTTTAAACAAACTCAACTTGAAACTTATAAAATGAACCACGTCCATTTTCAAGTTTGAAATTTATAAATAGAACTGAAGAAAGTAAATGATAATAGGGAATTCTTATGTACAGTAATAAATTTTGAAACAAGACAACAATGAAATATTTCGTCTAGTTCAAAATATAAGATAAATTTTATTTATTCATGTTTATTAATAAATTAGTTAAATTTAGTTTAAAACACTAAATACATGAGGCTTTTTTCCCTCTAAATATGTTCTAATTAATGAAAAAAATAAGTAAAAGATATAATAAATGAATTGAAAATAAAAAAAATCTATGAGAGGTAAAATTAAAAAAAATCATTAGATGCTGAAACGAAAATAAATATTATCTTATAAAAACACTCTTCTAACAAAATTTATCTTATATTTTAAATCCGCGGGCTGTCACTTCAAAAAAAGCACTGGCAGGAGCTGTTGATAACAAAACAGAGTACTATTCGGCACATAGAAAAGGAATTAGAGTTATACGAAATAAGCTTCTCAGGTTCTCCATTACTCGACTGGGGGACCTTGCTGAAGATAGCTCTGACAAGATCAGCATAGAGGGGGAAAAAAACATGCTCGAAAGTCAGGTGGAGTCCACATTTCCTATTTATACGAGGAGAAAAGAATTCTTTGATCCTTTATAAGTTTTTTTTTTTTTTAATTTCTCAGTATCAATTTTTGCCTTTACCTCTCGTCAGAAATAACTTATAAATTTGACTAGACCGACATGTGGACAGTACTTTTGAAAAATCTAACCAATTATTAGGGAGACCCTATCAGATTCTACAAGAGCTTAAGGGACCTCTTGTATATCACTCGAGAGACCCTCTGAAAATCACAAAAATGAACTGAGAAACTTGAGAGAGACCTTTTGCAAGTTTTTGGCCCGACTCAGCCAGAATTTGCGTGAGAAAGGCGAGTCAACACACCTACACCGAACGCCATGTGTTGCGTGGCCAAACCTAGAGACTAACATTACAACTTACGCAATCGGGTCTTTCAGGGGAGACTTTGGGGTTAAAAATCTGTACTTATTTAGAATCATGATTGAAATTATTTATAAATATGTTTTGAGACAAAATTTTATCTTACATATTTATCTCATCTTCTATAAATTATGATTAAAAAAACTACTTATAAATTATTCTAAACGGCCCTTATATACTGCTCGATTTAATTTATTAGTGGAATATTTTATTTTAGTTTAATCTATTAAGCAAAAATTAGTCTTTTAATCTTTCATTTTTTAATTTATATATGACTCGGTTCTTTAATTATAACTTGATGCAGCTTTCTACTTCAATTTTTAATTCACTTTTAATTTTGTCCTTTATATTCTCATTTTTTATATTATTATTCTTGTCACTTTCAGAATCATCCAATGCGGCAAAAATGTTTAGAAACACCCTCCAACTTAGCGCCTCTTGGATTAAAATGGCTTCCCTCAACTGAGAAATTCTAGTATAAGCCAGGTATACCGCCCCGTTTATACACAGGCCAACAACATTTTTTTTCCGGTAATACTGGCCAATAACATTTTGACAACTCAAGGAATCTTTATCCTACCTGTCAACCTACATGTCACTCCCCCTCTATTATTTTAATAATTTTTTTAGTAATTCGTGTGTCTATATTTTTTCTCTCTCCTACCTCCCAACCATTTGCAATTTTTTTTAATAAAAAAATCACTTTCCCTCTCTTGGGCTCGACTCTCGAGTACGCACTCCTCTCATCTCTATTCCCTCCCTCAAGTACAGTTGACAACCCGTCCTATATGCACCAGGACTGAGAAAGAAACACTAGACCTTTTCCGCATCCTTCTTCATCTCATCTCACTTAAGTTTTCTAATATGGCATGGGAATCAATTAGTATTGTGTTTATTTCTCTTTGAATAATTTAAACAGTGATAGAAAATAGATTATATTTCAAATTAACCTTCATTTTTTTCATTTCAATATTTTTTCTTATTTAATTTTTAATTTTTATTTTTGATAAAATATATATTATTTATAAATGAAATTCTAAAATGCCAACTAAAATTTTTTAAAATAGTATATAACAAAGTTAAGGAAAAAAGTCGATCATTTAAAATTAATTTAAACAGTTTTAAGGAGAGATGATGAATTACTTCATTTATATTTATGCATATAAAGTTTCTTTTTTAATTAGATTTTGTATAAATTGGATTTCGGATACTAACTGATCAAAGGTAAATTTCAAGGCTCAAAGCATACTTAAAGATTATTCATTAATATAGATGTTTTTACAACACATTTGACAATTAAACTAATTTTAGTTAACAAACCGTGAATTACTTTATCTTTATAAGAAAAATATTGGATCTCATAATTTGAAAGTAGCATAAAGCTAAACACAAATTAAAACCAACAACGAATCAGATACATTAATTCTCTGAGGCTGATCATATAGATAATAAGTACTTACTTGGAGGGTTTTGTAATAAACACCCTTGAGAAAACAAAGCACAAATAACACACCGGCTACTTTTCCAAATTCCAGTCGTAGGAGGAAAAGCATTTATTGAAGATTGGAAAGAAACTCCGCCATTAAAAGCATAAATTTATGCGTATGAAAATTAAAAAAAAAGAGGCCAAAATGATGCGACTGGGGAAGGCGCCTAACAATGGCTTTCAGCAGAGCCAGGTAGAGCGGGAACTGCGCGATTGCGTAGAAGGAAACAGGAAGACGAGTGGCGGCATAAAGAGGGAACACTCCTTGCTTGAATTTGTCTTCAAGCACGAAGAAATGAGCAGTGTAGAAAGAGATGAGCATCGAGGCAGTGGACACAAACAGTGAGCTTAAGCCCAGAATAAGCTTCAGTGGTAAATCTCTCCTAAAATCTTTGCGTTGTTTCCGAGAGGTGGGTATGGAAAGGAACATGATCAGCGCAGTGACAGAGAAGCAGAGCCAAATAAGTGCAGTGACAGCGAAAAGTTCAAACGCAGGCTTTCCTTCTAGCTTCGGCTTGCCAGTCTCCTCATCGGTGCCGCCGGGGACTTGATCGACGTTGCGAAGGAAACTCCGGCAACCACCGCAGCCACCACGGGACAAGATTCAGATGTATCCTTAAGCCGTTCGCTGCTGCTCTGGACAAGCTCTTGATGACCTCTAACGAAGATTTGTCCCGGAGTTTCGTCTTCTTTGTTGGTCAGGAAAATGAAGCGGGATGGCAGAAACGCTTTCACATGCTGCAAACATTCAAGTTCAATATCGACGAACTCCGTTTTTTTTCCCCCTTTTTTTAAACTACTAGTAATTAATTATAAATATCTTGGAAGGCATTTACCTCGTACCACTTGATTTCCCCTTGCATCTGCATGGCAGCGCCATGAATTTGCCAAGGATGAGACCTGGATTCGTCGTACTTGGCTGCTAAGTGTAATATAGTGTTGTCGTCAGTGTCCACCGCTCGAACGAGGTCTTGCCAGAGTTGAAGCTTCTTTAATATTTGGTCTTCGATCGAGATTCTGGAATTAAAAAACTAAGAGTTTAATTGATGGGCTGAAAATTCGTTAGTTTTAATCTACTTCTCCTGTCTTTAATATAAGATTTGCTTTATAGTATAATTTGTATTATAAAATGGATCTTATATTAAAAACAGGAGGGAGTATTTTGTTAATTACATTTTTATTGCAATAAATATCGATAATTTTATATGCTTTTCAAGAATCATGTTCAAAGCACTAGGGCCTGTTTGGCATGCTCGTCTGAATTTTGATAGATTAGGAATGTGCGGGAATGGGAGTGATAAAATTAATCCACGTATATGTTGAGTGAAAGCCGGATTTGCATTGGGTGATCATCAGTGCTCGTCAAGATCTGGACCGTTCAAATCCGATCTGGACAGTCCATATTTAATTTTATTTTTATTATTATTTTTTTTAAAATAATTATTTTAATAGGTATAGAATAAAAAATAAAGATAATCTCTTAACTACCATACTTTAAAAAAATAATTTTTTCTATTTAAAATAATTATTTAAAAATATCAAATTTGGACCGTCCAGAGTAGATCTGGACGGTCCAGATTGCTCATCACTTGATGAGCACCAAATGTGGACGGTCAAAGTCACATCACCGTTATTTTCTTATAAACTAACAAATTATAAGTATATAGACTGATACTTATAATTGACAAAACTATAAGGACTAATAAAAAAAACTATAAGAATTTAATTAAAAACATGTTCTTCATATGATTTTGTGTATTAACTTTGTTATAATTATTACTTAATGAATACTATATATCTATTTGATTATAATTTATACTTGTATTTATTTGATTGTGTTTCTATTCAAACTTGTTTATAATCCCCAATACGGTCATTTAAATACTGTGAATCTCTGAATGATACCCACACTGTAGCTTCTTTTTTTTTTTTTTTAATGAAATAACTTCTAATACGGGTCGTATATTTGGTGGGGGTGGTGCATGTTCCTGCATTGATATTGTTATCTTGAATTTTAAAATGATTTCTTTTTAATTTTTCCCAAAAAAATTAAAAAGTATTTTTTTAAAAAAATCATTTCAATGTGTAATAATTAAGATTTGCCCGGTAAAATTTGAACCCTCTCCTCCATATATACTAAGAAACAAGTAACAAGAAAGAAAGATATTGAAGACGACAGAGACGAGCTCCGTTGCTACATATAATCTTGAATAAACATAATCATTGATGGGTCTACAAATTATGAAACACGTCTCTGATCGTCATTAAACGCTCATAAAAAAGCCTTTGAAAAGATCCTTGTAGAGAGGAAACTCTACAATTGTGAGGAAAATGGGAAGACAAATGAAAACATAAAGAGAGAGCACTGATCTCTTGAACTTGTCCTCAAGCACAAAGGAATGCCCGGCGCAGAAAGAGATGAACATTGAGACAATGGACCCAAAGAGCGAGCTCAAGGCCAGAAAAAGCTTCAACGGCAATTTTATCCTAAAATCATTGGGTCGTTTTCGAGAGGTGATTATGGAAAGGAACATGATGATTGCAGTAACAGAGAAGCAGAGTGCAATTAGCGCAGAGATAGCGAAAATATCGAATCCAGGGCGTCCTTCTAACGTTGGTTTGCCAGTCTTGTCATGGTTGCCACCAGGTACAGTGGTTGATGTCGCATAGGCAACTCCGGCAACCAGCGCAGCCACCACTGAGCAAGATTCAGATGTATGACTAAGCCATTCATCGCTTCTTAAAAAAAGCACTCGATTATTTCTAAGGAAGATTTCTTCTGGAGTTTCATCTTTTTTGTTTGCAAGAAAAGTGAAGTGGGGTGGCGAAAACGATTTCACATACTGCAATTCAAATTCGATGGTGAGAATTGTTAAATTTAAATATTTAAAATGATACCTAGTACATGCATCCAAGAGCGGAAAATAAACATAATATCTGCTACTTACCTCATACCACTTGATTTCGTGTTGCATCTGCAAGGCGCTAGAGCCCTCAATCTGCAATTCGTAATTGTAGTAGTTCGCTGCTAAGTGCAATATAGTATTGTCATCAGAATCCACAGACCCAACAAGGTGTCGCCAGAGCTGAGGCTTCTTTAATACCTCGTTCACGTGTGTCTCTAGTGCGTCTAAAATTCTGGGTTGCCTATTCTCCACAGCTACCAGCACTATACTTTTCTTCTTCCGTGAGATATCGTGGATGGAGACTGGTAATCGTTCAAGAATTTTGTTCACTACTTCAACTATTCCTTTCTGGGCTGCCACCAACAAGGGTGTATCAGCTCTTTGAGTCTTATCTTTGTTCTCACCTGCCATGCCAATTCATCCCTCTTGATTCTTTATTTTATATATCGATCGTAACAAACTCAAAATTAAATAATTGGAATACCTTTCTCATCTTCTTTAGTTTTCTTAGAACCAGCTGGGGCTGGAACTCCATGGAGCGACTCATCATCAAATAGTCCGATACCCGATGGGCCAGGGTCACTTCCACCTTTAGTCATGTATGTCTTCCCTGGGTCTTTCATCAGTTCATCCAGTATCTGCATACTCCATGCATGTTTTTGTCTCGCATTTATTATTTCCTCAATTGTTTTTCCTGACAAGCATATTCACACAGAAAACTCAGTTAATCGGAAGAATTACAGGGTGTGTGTGTGTGTGTGTGAGATCAATAAATGAAACTTGAAGGTGGCATACCAAATCCTAGAACGCCAAATAAAATTTTCAAGACCACGAACAGAAACTGAAAGCAGGTAGCATAATTTTGTGGAACGTTTCCCTCAACATGAGAGTTAAAATGGTTCTCTGGATCACTTCCTGCCATTACTCTTCCTGTCAACATGATAAACGCATGATAATAATATGTCAAACAAAGCCACCCACTCTTTTAACACCAATAATATGTTAAATTAAACGCGCTCTCAAAATTCAACTCGAACTAAGTACCACCACGTCGCAAAATTGAAAGGAACTGATAACATGTCTGGTAGTTGTCTGGTGGATACTCCAAATTCGAGCTTCTGGTCGGAACTGTTCTTGTCGGCACCGAATCATCATATTCCAGCGGATCTACCCTTATACCTAGCCCCGATCGAAAATGAACAATTGAATACACGTTGCTTTTACAAACATTCTTTGAGTTTGATAATAAACAAATCCAAATTAAACCTTACAATGGTATATGATTTCCTGCCACCACGAGAGGTGGGAGCCACTTCTAAAAGCAGAAGGTTTGCTGGCCAGGATAAGAAGAGGAGTTATTCCCTTTTCATTGCATCTGCCCATAAGTTGTGGGCATAGTCGCATTATGTGGAACGCCAACTCTGCACACACACACACACGTGTATATTTGCGTGTTGATAATTAAGATAAAGAGGTATGTATGTCTACGCACATTATCATGGGAGATAAACCCGAGAGAATAAAGGATGAATAGAAGCTGTAAGACTAGAACCATATATGAAATCTCTACGTAGGAATATGCGTATATGCTTGCATGGGAAGGCCTGTGAGGGATTTTCGAGAGAGAAAACAAATGTTTTGGTATAGGACGCTTATTACCATAATGCTCTCTCAGAATGGCGCAGTGAAGTACAGTATCTCCATTGAGGGGAGATATAAGCACCTTATCCTCTACGATATCAGAATCTACGAGGAGGTAGATGAAGGCATGTTTACGGTTGTCGAGAACAGCCATGAAGATAGGGTTCTCGCCCCATATGTTGCGAACTTGGAGCAATCCATCCAAGCGCAGTTCAGTTGCTGCCATCACGATGGACTTGCACATTTTCACGGACCCTATCGCGGCCGCGCGATGCAGAGGCGTGTCCCCTACCTCATTAGCCTTCGTCAGAGCCTCCACTTTTCTCAGATGATGTCCGTCGTCGGCTTTCAGGATGATTTCCAGCAGCTTCTCCAGAACGTCTTCTTTGTCTTCGTCGATGATCAGGTGCAGAGCTGTGTCTCCTGAGCTCGTGATCTCTGCGCTCCACACCTCTGGTTTTGTTTCGTATAACTTCACTACTTCTCTCCACTTCCCTAGCAATGTGTTCACGTATAATTGTCTCACATCAGAATCATGTTTCTCTCCCTCTTCGCTCATTTGGGAATGTGAAGATGGAGACCCCATTTGTTTGAGAACCTATATACTATGAATGATGAGAACAAGGTCACATTACTGATCGGTAACGTTCAACAGCCACTCCGTCGTTGACGACTATCCATCTCAATTTATACCAAACTCTCTCTGCCGCTTTAACTTTTGCCCTCCGTGAATTAAATTTAAATCTTGTACAGCATAAGGGGTTAAGAGAATGCTAAGCGAGATTTCTTTATTAGATTTGGAAATGAAAAAGGTAGAGATTGGAACATAGCATTAGTTTGAATAAAGGTTTTTAATAAAATGAAGTGTACTTATCAGATATACCTCCTTTAATCCCAAACTTAGTGTCAAGTTAATTAACTTCATTATTTTAAAATTAATTACCACAGTAAAATGTTATCTGATAATTGAAAGAATTCCAACTTGTTGCAATTAAGGAGTAAGATTATTGGGAAAAAATTTTAACTACCACATCTTTGCCTTGTATTTAGAAGCAACTAGTAGGGTTCTAAAACTTTGGAAGTGGTACGAAGATAGACACCTTTTCAAGTTTTAGACCAGAACAATTAAAGCTAAAAGCATCTTAGCTTAAGGACAAAATACTTACATCTTATGAATAAAGCTGGAGAGAAAAAGCGAGAGAGGACCACGCCATGCCCAAAAGATTATTAATAATATTACAAATCTCACATCTGAAAAAAAAAAATTGCAAGAAGAAAAAAACAAGTGGTATATATATATGTGTATTTGTAACGAGTTGAACCGAAAAGTTTAACGGGCCAGTTTCTCATTCTTACGTGTTGGAAAATTTCATTACATAATCCAAAGGATATAAATGTGGGTACAGATGACACTATTTTTAAAATCGTATTGCGTGAGACTCTTTTAGTTCTTTCTCTTCATAAATTATACGTACTGAAGTACTTGACCATCTCGCCTCACACTATCAATCTTGAAAATTACAAAATTAATTTGAGACTCGGAAGAGAAGTTATGCGAGCTTTTGCAGTGAACAGATAAAGTGAATTGAAATAAAAGAAGAAGAAAGAATGGAGTTGGACAAGAATCAGGCGAAGCCCAACTCTTTTGTCTCTTGCAAGCCCCCTTATATGAATTGTACGTCTGAGTGTTAAAGAGGGGAAGAAAATAAAAGAAGAAAGGGAAAAGCAGAAAAGATTGTGGCTCACAAAAGCCAAAAGAGATGGAATTGAACTACTCAAGCTATTAATTAAAGGGAGATAAAGACTCTCCAACAAAAGCAATGTAAAATGAGAACGTGTGTATATATTATTTTTGAACTTCTAAGTTTACTACTTGAACGCTAAATTTATAATTAAAAAAGCATCATCTGACATTAATTCTTTTATATAATTTTCAATTGTCACCCTCCCTTAATTGAATGTGAATTTTCGTGCTTTATGGCAAGAAAGTAAATGATCTTTCCTACAAGCATACAAGTGCATAGTAATAATGTAACCCAAAGTATTGTAAATACCAAATCACTCGGAGATGGTAATACAAATGATCTATAGCTAATTAATTAAGTACTCGACCACCATGCCTTCACAATTAGAAATCTTGAAAGTTACAAAATTGAAATGGAGAGAGAACTTTGGCGAGCTTTAATTTTGTTGATGCCAGAATATTTGTCCTGAAAAAAGCAGCAGCCGATACCTATGTGTTTCATACACACACATATTTGGCCGAAGACTACAAAGACAGATTAAATCCACTTGACTCCACACAAATATTATATTTGATCTTCGATCGAGATTCTGGGATTAAAGAACTATGACTCAGTTTAATTGATGGGCTGAAAATTCGTTAATTTTAATATATTTTGCTAATTAAATTTTTATTACAATAATACAAATAATTTTATATGCTTTCCAAGAATCATGTTCAAGATAACAGGGACAGTTTGGTTTGCATGTCTGAATTTTGATAGATTATGAATGGGAATGGGATTGGAAATGAGTATGGAAATGAGAGCGGCAAAATTAATCCATGTGTATGGTGAGTGAGCCACATCATCATCAGTTGCTACTGTTTTCTTATAAATTAACAAATTATGAGTACATAAACTAATAATTGATAAAACTATAAGGACTAGGCAAAAAAAGAAAAAGAAAAAAATTATAAAAACTTAATTAAAAATGTAACACCTCACTTTTATATATACTAATAGGACTATTTTTAACGCCTGTGAATCACTAACACCAGGTTTCCATCCTGGGAAAAGACAGGGATTTTTTTTTTCTTTAACATTGGAATCCGTTGATCAAATATTTCAAACCTTCAGATAACATATTAGTGATCCAATAACAACCCTGCTTTCAACTCAATCTATTATCATCTAAAATAATTTCATACTATACAATCTTATAATATTATATTAAAAATAAAGCCACGCTCTTGGTTGACAGCATATAAGTGCACCTGGCAATGCTCACCTCCTTCTTCTAAAGGATTCAAAATAATATTTCCATAAAGCAAGTAAAGTTACTTGCCCAAATATTTTGCTATAACATTTACAGAATTAAAACGGGTATCTCTGCTCTTCAATCAGCCCACATTCTTCTTAAATAACCTCCTTGTCCTTCTAGCTACTAGCCTTCACTGTTCATCATAAATTGGGGGGTGAGATTCCGAAGAATCCCCGTAGTAGTAATTTCCATCAAACAAATGTGCAGATCACATAAAACATGCAAAACAAGCCATATGGAACAAAACCTTGCAAGCTAATGCAATTAAGCATTTATGCGCTATGACAGATAGACAAGCTGAATAAATAATGCGCAAATAATAGGCAATCACTGCCGCGCATATAATTGGCAATCACTGCCCCATGTCTGTTAGACAAGTTGAATAAATAATGCGCAAATAATAGGCAATCACTGCCGCGCATATAATTGGCAATCACTGCCCCATGTCTGTTAGACAAGCTGAATAAGTAAAGCGCAAATAATTGGCAATCACTGCCCCATGTCTATCAGCTGCACGTGATCACGGCTAAAAATCCATGCAAGGAATTAAGGATTACATGTTCTCATGCTTTTTGAATAGCAATATGGTACAAACAGACATGCAGCAATCATACACAAGTGTAAGGGAGGAAAGAACTACTACCTGGTCCGCATTCCCTCCAAATCAAACCTTACCGTTCTCCTTTCTTTCTATTTCTTGGTGGGCTTGAGCAGATATAAAAACCTATCATATCAGTAAGGGTAGATCAGTACTTGATCCAACTGTATCTCATAAATTAAATAACTCTTTAAATCCCAAATCTTCTTTAATCTCTACCCTTACGTAGCAGTTGATCATCCTGGATTGTTTTTTTTTTCTTATTCAACTATTCTCTTTGGAATGCTTCCTTCCTTATCTCAACCCATACAGTTACTTTACTTAGTAACTGGTCATCTTGGTCAAATATATTATCTTTAATTATTGCATTTAAGGGTAACTCCGTGTACCCAATTCCAACATCTCAATTCAAGCCTACTCAAATGTTTATTAATGTAGTTACTAGTTATAACTTTACTATAAAACTTTCTTATTCTCCTATCTACGCAAGGAAACCAAATAAACTAATTGTCACTCATCCTGAACATTCCAAAATCAACCTCAACAACCATTCATCTTTATTTTAGCTTATAATCCTTCTATTACTTCTCTATTCAACACCTTTCGATCCTCTATAGTAGCAAATGTCAAGCTTCAAACATTCTCACCCATATATAATATGAAAATTTCCTTTATCTCTAAACATACTCAAACATATACCTAACATTTATAATAATTTTCTCAACACCTAAGACGTCAAAACAGCGAGCCTTTCCGTCTTATTAATCACAAAACCCACAATATGTTTAGAACTTTTAAACATTAATCCTTAGCAAATTAATTGGCACTCGATTCATACAACCCATCGACACTTATGCAACTTAAGATATTTAATGTGGAATTTCCAGATTTAACTATACTTCCTAATCCATATTTTTTTTTTTCCATCAACTTCCAACAATTATTTTCCTTCTTCAAATAAAATTTCAGATTCAAAACTCACACCTTCAACGTAATATATTCAATCATTTCCAAATGTCCTTATATCCTAATCAACATACACATATAACAATCACACACACACACATATATAAAATATCATCCTTGACTCTTACAGCAGTAACAAGCATACGGACATATTTATACCCAAGCACTCCGAATACTCGTATGTGACAAATCTGGAAAATTTCCAGTTTTCAATGTCATTAACTATCAGCTTCCATGCTCAGTATACACAAGTAATCCAATATATACATACCACACTTCATTCTTACCCTTCAACCAAAACCAACCCAACGTCACTACAAAAGATTCCAACTCCTTAAAGCCAAAATTTTAGTTTCTATATTCGGTTACTCTCGCCCAGCAACAATCAAAGCAAGATAGGCACATTAAATAGCATCCCTCATTCGTACTTCCACATGCAGGGCCGTATCTAACTTAAGCAAACATTAATCCATACAACTCAACAAGATTCCGAATTAAAACTTAGAGGAATGCACTTCCCTGTTCGGCCGAGACAAAACGGAGCAAGAATCGACATGAAACAACAAATCTTCATTATTATCTTGTTTTCCCATAAACCCGACAACATTATAGCAGCAAAGATTCAACACTAACAATCAACCATATACCACTAACATTCTTCCAGCAATACGGTTAACTAGGATAGATGAGTGAGCCTTACTTAAACCCATATATATATGTACCCATATCTACACTTCATTCTCCAGAATTCAAAGGACCCGAGGCCATCAACAAGCTTTAGTTTCAAAAGAAGAAAATCATTATATAACAGAACCAAACCACATACGGTAGCATCTCCCCACATATATGGATTTCCTTAAATCCTCACCCCTGTTTTCGGCGAACAAAACAGAGCAAAGCAACGCATGCAACTTCAGGATCCAACGACAACAGCAAGAAGGAAGACATGCAAGCTTAAAAACTAACTTCATACACTT